TGTTTTCCAACCATAACGATTCTGTGAAATGCTGTTTTGGAATGAGCTTTAGAAAAGCTACAGATGATGTTTTTGGGGTAGCAGATACAGGCTTGCTCCTCCTGTGCAGCCACAGAAGTCCCTGGGGTTGGCAGCAGCAGTTCAGACGAGGGGTGGAGTTGTGCCAGGGAGAGTCACGCTGGCAGTGAGCTCAGCCGGGCGCTGGGACAAGTTTCCAGCAGTGGGGTGGTGGAACAGGCACTGGGAGGGGGATGGAGGATGGTGCTGGGTGTTGCTGACACGGCGCTGGGTCACCGTGGAGGTGAGCAGCTGTTCACAGGAACATTGGCAGGCCACAGCCATAAGCCAGGCTCCTCCTGAGTTAGGTGCTGTTCCAAAAGCCCAATAGGAAGTAATCCTCTGCACTGTTGCCCTTGGAGTGTCTTTTCCTTCTTCACTTTGTTGGCTTGCTGTGGAACAAGCAGACCTCTTGCCTTGAAACTGTCCTGGGTAGACCAGACTGGACTAATCTCTGCCTTTCTCCAGCTGTCTAGGTCTCAAAATGAGTTCCATGCTGAGCCACGCCGTCAGACACCTCCCTCCCTCCTCAGCATGGGCTGCCAGGGCCTGTGAGTATCTTCACATCTGTTAAAAGCTTGACTCAGAAAGTTGTTTTAAGCCTTGGGTTTGAAACAGGTGCTTGTATCCAAACCCCTGTTCTGTTGTCAGCTTAAAAAAGATGAGTGTGTCTTTTTTAGAAGTGCCTCATCCCCTGGTTGTTGTGTTTGTCCCTTCCCACCTCAGCTGTGGGAGGAATCCTGGGTTAATGGGTAACAGAAACTGCCTCGTTTTTCTGACTGGAGTAAATTAGAAAATGCCTCAAAGCTCTTCAGGCACCCTTGTGTTCCTGTGACCTCCCCATGCTTTTTTAGCAGTTCTCACAGAAACTGGGCATGTTTGGGTCATTCCATGGTTGACAGCCTCTCTTTTCTCATCTCTTTTCCAGTTGCTCGGTCGCTCAGCTGCTCTTCCCAGTTACAAGCTGCAGGTAAAGTGGGAACACTGGGAATCTCAGGTGGCTCTGTGCTAGAGGAGACTCTTTATGAAGCTGCCTCCCTTTCCCAGAGTGTCAAACCCAGAAATAAGCCCAGGTTCAGAGAAAGCTGTGAAGAAAACAAACTGCTGCTGGCAGCAGAGTCCTCGCAGCCTCGGGAAGCGCCTCGCTGCCCCCCAGCTCTGCCCAGCCAGAGCTCCCACCCTGCTGGCACCTGCTAGATCCCTGCTCTGGGAGCCTACGGAGCAGAGCCAGGCTCAGGGGGGGTTATGAACTCTCCAGGCCCAGCCAGATCGCTCGCCCAGAGCAGAGGGGATTGCCCCAACCTAGGAGGAGCTTGTGGAATGAGCTCGGAAGTCCAGTGAGACCAGGATGAGGCTTGGAAGCTGCTGGATGTGTGCAGCAGTGCAGGTTTTTAGTTGCAGCCCTTCCTGAGGGGTTGGGGTGAGGTGGGACTTGCTGTGGGGGGGGTTGTTTAGGTAATTAGTGCTTTGAGCTGCCCCAATTTTGGAAACAGCAAAAGCTGGACAGCAGGTCCCCCTTGTCTCCTTGGCTTTGCTCAGGAAGCTTTATGTAATCCAAGGGCACTGCTGGAGTTTCATCCTGGTGCTCGTGCTTGCCTGAGCCCAGTATTTAGCTGGATTTAATCTGCTTTTATGTTCTTTGTCCTTTCCTGCTTGTAAAAATCTTTATTAATGATCTGAACAAGGGGATGGAGGCACCCTCAGTCAGTTAGCAGAGGACACAGAGCTGTGAGTGTTGTATGCTCTGCAGAGGGGTCTTGCCAGGCTGGATCCATGGGATGAGGGCAGTGGGATGAGGTTCAACCAGGCCCAGGGCTGGGTCCTGCCCTTGGGTCCCAACAACCCCCTGCAGAGCTCCAGGCTGGGGCAGAGGGGCTGGAAAGTGCCCCAGGGAAAGGCCCTGGGGGGTTGTTGGACAGGGGCTGGAGATGAGGCAGCGTGTGCCCAGGTGGCCAAGAAGACCACCAGTGTCTTGGCTTGGGCCAGAACTAGTGTGGCCAGCAGGACTAGAGCAGGGATTGTCAATTAGACATTAGGAAGAATTTCTTTCCTAAAAAAACATGTGGCTGTGGCCCCTGGGGACATGTTTTAGTGGCCATGGGAGTGTTGAGTTAACTGTTGGACTTGGTCTAGGAGGTCTTTTCCAACCTTGATGATTCCATTATTCTGTGGTTGTGTTGTGCATCTATTCTCAGCTGCCCTGGTGCCTCAGAGCTCTAGATGAATCTCTGCTGATGGGGTCTCACCAAGTTATTAAATCATTTTTCAGAGGTCACATAATTATCTAGACAGAGCTGAGATGGCAGCTTGGGTGTCCTACCTGCTCTTCTTTTGACTTAGTCACCACACGAGGAGAACTCCCTTAGTTTTCTTCTAGTCTTAACAGTCTAGATGAATCTCTGCTGATGGGGTCTCACCAAGTTATTAAATCATTTTTCAGAGGTCACATAATTATCTAGACAGAGCTGAGATGGCAGCTTGGGTGTCCTTCTTTTGACTTAGTCACCACATGAGAACTCCCTTAGTTTTCTTCTACTCTTAACAGACTCTTACTTGAAGCCTGCTGATTCTCCTGTTAATAGTCACTTCTCTCAGCAGCCCAGCCAAAGAGCAAGAAGACCTTGGCCAAAAGTGGTGTGAAGAACATCGTGGTGGTCGAGGGCGTCCGAATCCCCTTCCTGCAGTCGGGCACCTCGTAAGTATGACACAGGGAGCAAATCCCTGCTGGTGAAATCTTGCTCTGGCAAAAAAAAAATGGCCTTGCACCTTCCAAAAGCCCTAAAGTGGGGGTGAGTTAGGCTGCCACAGTTAGCCCAACGTAATGAAACCACGTGGTTTGAAGAAGGTTCTGGGAAGAATGTGGATTTATGCTGCACGTGGAGAGGAAGCTGCTGGTGGAGCTGTGGCAGGTAAAGCAAAGGGGGTTCACAAAACTAGCAGGGCAGGAGCAGAGAATCAGCTGTGTGACAATGTGCTGACCTACACACGGGTCCTCTGCACAGCCTGGGGTGTGAAAAGGTTGGGTGTAAAGGCCGTGGAGCCTGGCAGCAGCTCTGTGGTGGTGATGTGTGCTCATCAGGGTGAAGGAGACGCCTCCCTGGGCTCCTCACCCCTCTGAGGTTCTCCCTCTCTGACTTCCAGGTACGCCGACCTGATGCCTCATGACTTGGCAAGAGCAGCACTGCAGTAAGTAAATGGAATACTAGAAGGGCCCAGAAAACTGAGGGAACTGCTGAGGTCCCAACATTAGAACCACTTTGGTGGGAAAAGACTTTTAAGTGCATGGAGTCCAACAGTTCCCCCAACCCTGCCAGGTCCCCACTGCCCCGTGTCCCTCACACCACATCTCCACAGCTTGGGAACCCCTCCAGGGCTGGGGACTCCAGAGCACCCCAATTTGGGGACTATGCTAACAGGCATTTCAGGATGGGTTTGTGTGTGGAGTGTTTTATAGTCACCTTATCACCACGATTCTTTGCAGCCTGTAGTCAGTTAGACTTTTCCTTAAGCACGGATCACCCAAGATCTCTTCTGAACGAGGGGCAGGAGATGTGGCTCTGTTGTCACCTTGTTCTCCAGCCAAGCTGGCAGAAGGGGGATGTTTGAGGGCTGTGATATTGCTGCTGTGGTACAAATTCTGCTGGGTTGGATCTGCTCTGCAGGGGCTTGTTGAACAGGACCAGCCTCCCGAGGGATGTTGTGGACTACATCGTGTACGGCACAGTTATCCAGGAGGTGAAGACAAGTAATGTTGCCAGAGAGGTGGGTCACGAGCAGCATTTCCCTTCTGAGTCTGCTTTGATGATGACAAACACTTAGAGAGCCAAAACCCTCCTGTATTATAGTTCTTTTAAATGAGATTTGAGAGTATGAACCATTTGTGCAGCGTCCTCTCTCACGTAACCGCCCAGGACTCTGCCTCCTGTTGAAACCTCTGCAGGTCACGTGCACTTTAATGCAGCAAAGCCTCTGCTCCATTCCTCCCTGCAAGGGAAGCTTTTGTTAAAAATTCCTGATCCCTCAGCTCTCGACTACGAGCTGGACTCAGCTTGTCTGAAGTCCTTGAGAGGGCCAGAGCAGGCTGTGGTCGATGGCTTTGCTGCCACGGATTGCTGTGCTCTGGGATTAATTCACTGGCTGATCAGATGCAGCCTGTGAGTGATTTCAAACAGAGCAGCTTATCTGCCCTTTTTTTCTGGCACTCTGAAGACACAAGCTGCACAGAAACACGCTGCTCCACTGGAGCAATGATGCAGAGGAGACACGTGATCTTCTACACGTTGGAGCCTTTCCTGTTGTTCTCCACAGCTGAGAGGAGCCGTGACGTGACCTGGGCCTGGAGAGACTCAGCAGGTTCTGAGGCTCCCCGGTGCCACCAGCGGTTGTAGCCCTGTCTGTACAAATTCTTGCTTTGGTCACCTGCCAGTCAGATGAGGCTGTGGTGTAATTTTAACTCAGGAACAACTGCTGAACTTTCCACTAGTTGGCCAGGTCCCAACTGGGGAAGGAGTTGCTGTGTGGAGTTCTCCCGTGGCAGGAGGCCAGGCTGCCGGCTGGGGCGGGTCAGATCCTGCCCTCTGAGCTGCAGGGAGTGTGTTCTGTGTGCTGTGAGGCTGCTGAGGGGTCTGCATAGCTCCTTCCATGTGCAGCTTTTGCAAATGAGGTGAAATAAAGATGACAGAAGTGCTTCAGTTGGAAGAGACCTTGAAGATAATTGAGTTCAGCCGTTCCCCCAGCCCTGCCAGGTCCCCACTGCCCCGTGTCCCTCACCCCACATCTCCACGGCTTGGAAACCCCTCCAGGGGTGGGGACTCCATCACGGCCCTGGGCAGCCTGGCACAGCCCTGGGCAACCCTCCAGGGCAAGAAATTGTTCCTCAGGGGCAACTGAAACCTCCCCTGGGGCAACTTGAGGCTGGTTCCTCTTGCCCTGGCCCTTGTTCCCTGGGAGCAGAGCCCGCCCCCCCCCTGGCTCCAGGCTCCTGTCCGGAGCTGTGCAGAGCCAGACGGTCTCCCCTGAGCCTCCTTTGCTCCAGGCTCAGCCCCCCCAGCTCCCTCAGCTGCTCCTCCCCCCACTTGGGCTCTAGACCCTTCCCCAGCAGCTCCGTTGCCCTTCTCTGGCCACTCTCCAGCCCCTCAAGGTCCTTCTGGGAGTGATGGAGGTGCCAAAAACCGACCCCAGGATTTGAGGTGCAGCCTCCCCAGTGCCCAGTGCAGAGGTAGAGATGATCTGAAGTAGCTGGAAGGTCTTTTGAAATTGTGGGGTTGTGATTATTTTGTCCCTTTGTTAATGGTGGCCAGTGACTGTCTGCAGACTGTGACTGAGAACCCTGGCAGCTGCTGTCTCCTGTTCCCAGAGTCTAGGGAGGGGATGAGCTGTTACAGCAACTGCCTGGATGAAATCTGCATGTACTTGTTTTCAGCTTAGTCTGCAGAGGTGTGTTCTGAGGCAGAAGGTAGCTCTGACCCTGTGGAGCAAAGGGTGAAGGTTTTAACAGCAGTTTTCCTTTGCTCATAGGCTGCCTTGGGAGCAGGTTTCTCTGACAAAACTCCAGCACATACAGTCACCATGGCTTGCATCTCTTCAAACCAGGCCATGACCACAGGTATGTTGGCTGGAGGAACAGGCTGTGGGTTTGAGAGTGAGCTTAGCAACTCCTGCATCCCTCATCTGACTTGCATGGCTCAGTGTCAGTAAGGGTCCAAAGAGTCATAGAGTAGTTCTGGTTGGAAAAGAGCTTGAAGACCATCAAGTCCAGCCACTGCCCCCAGCCCTGCCAGGTCCCCACTGCCCCGTGTCCCTCACCCCACATCTCCACGGCTTGGGAACCCCTCCAGGGGTGGGGACTCCACCACTGCCCTGGGCAGCCTGGCACAGCCCTGGGCAACCCTCCAGGGCAAGAAATTTTCCTCAGGGACAACCTCAACCTCCCCTGGGGCAACTTGAGGCTGTTTACTCTTGCCCTGTTGCTCGTTCCTTGGGAGAATATCCTAAAAGAAATTCTAGGATGGCAGGAAAGGTTTTGGAACAACAAAATACAGCAGGAGTGGAGCATCTGCCGTAGACCTGCCAGCAGCTTGAGCCCTTAGCATCCAGCAGTGGTCTCTGTGTGGTGTCTGTGTTAGCCTGGGAGATAAAAACTGCATCATGACAAGGAAGTCGCTGCCTTTCAGGCTACTTCCATCTTTAATTTGGTCTGAACAGAGCAAAAAAGAGGAGATCTGGTCCCTGCCTGGAATTTCTGGGGCCGTTCTCCTCCCGGGCACCGCGTGCGGCAAAAAGAAGTGACAAAACTTGTGCCAGTCAGAGAACCTCAGCTCAGCCTCCTCAGCACGTGTTGGGTGCCTTGGGCCTGGGCTGGGGGAGGGAGCAGAAGGTGGGGAGGTGGGGAGGAGATGCCCTCCCCCAGCAGTGACATCCCCCTCCTCCCCCAGGCGTGGGCATGATCGCGGCCGGGCAGTGTGACGTGGTGGTGGCCGGGGGCGTGGAGCTCATGTCGGACGTTCCCATCCGCCACAGCAGGAAGATGAGGAAGACTATGCTGACTCTGAACAGAGCCAAAACCTTGGGCCAAAAGCTCTCCCTCATTTCCAAAATCCGCCCCGATTACTTTGCTCCTGAGGTAAGCTTTGGCTTTTTCAGGGTTTTAGCTGGTTGGCTGAAGGGTTGTAGGAGGAGGGGTTGGGTCAGGTGATGATTTTAGTCTCTGTGGAGAGGGTTTAAAGGGTTCCTGTGGCTCAGCTTTATCAGGTCTTTCTCCTCTTGGTTAAGACTGCAGCTGATTCACACATCTCATAGTGCCTGGGACTCTGTTTTGTCTTCTTACATGTTGTTCTTCAGGAAACCCAACTTGATTTCAAAACCTCCCTCTGCTTCTGCAGCTCTCATGGAGACTACAAAAGTAGAAGCTTTTCCCCATAAATACCAAACTTAGGTGAGGGTCCTGAAGAGGCAGAAGAATTTGTGCTTCTTAGATAATAGAAATAACATATCAGAGGGGAATATTCTCAGTATGTTAATGTAATTGTTGGATTAAGGCATTTTAAATATTCCTGGCCCTATCCTGCCCACTGCTGTGCTCAGCTCCCATGCTTGGGCCCTGGTGGAATCAGGAGTCTGCCATAGAGGAGCCACTTTTCTCAGGCTTGGAGGGGATGAGAGGGGTGAATTATGATGTGGGGTGCAAAGGCAGTTCCCTCCTCACCCCCACTGAGCTCTTCATGAGGAACCCGTGGGCGTGTGCTGCTGCCCTTGGTGTGAGCACAGTGTGTGCAGCAGAGATGAGATCCAAAGCCCAGATGAGAGATGGGAGTTGCAGCCTTAGACCATAGAATCAGAATTTTTTGGGTTGGAAAGGACTTTAGAGGTCATCTAGTTCCAACCCCCTGCCATAGGCAGGGACACCCCCAGTTAGCGCCAACCCCCACCCACCCTGGCCTTGAACCCCTCCAGGGGTGGAACATCCACAGCTTCCCTGGGCAGCCTGGGCCAGGGGCTCAGCACCCCCAGAGTGAAGAACTTCCTCCTAATTTCTTATCCAAATCTTCCCTCTTCCAGTTTGAGGTCATTAGCCCTTGTCCTGTCACTACAAGCCCTTGTACAAAGTCTGTCCTCAACTTTCTTGTAGATCCCCTTCAGACACTTGGCAGGCCCCCAGCAGGTCTCCCCAGCTGGAGCCTTCTCCTCT